CAGCACAGAAAGCACATTTGCCAGCTATACTAGATAAGCATATTAAGAAGGATGATTTCAAACTACATACCCTAATCCGCAGTCTTTACCAAATGAGCACTTCAAGATCGTTTATCAGAAGGAGGTGACTGAAGGGAGCTAGTTTAAAGAGCATTTGCTCTTGCAAAGCCATTTTTTAGGTCATGGTCTAAAAAGTCACATTGTAACCCATGCACAGCACTAATAAGCATAAGAAGGTGTACAGAAAAAAAAGTGTAAAAATTCAAAGTGGTTTGCTTGCAAAACGCTTAAGAAAATAAAACTCTCTCAGGTTTATGCTAAATATCCTTGTCCCTGAGACAATTTCTTTTTACCTAGAGTAGCTAGCCATAAAATTATTTCAGATTCTGTTTTAAGTAACACTCCGATTTATACTGGGAGTTATGTTCTATCATTATTTCAAATCTTTATATTATTAAAGTAAATTGCACACACATTTCCCACCCTGATACTGGTGCTACTGATACAGGTTTGCACCATTCCTTTTCTTGTTTGTCAACGTATTTTCAAATCCCTGTTACAAAATCCTTTAGTTTAAAAAAAAAAAAATTAAGTTTCTCTCTAAAATACTCAAAGGAATAGATGATGCATAGCTTTTTATTTTTAAGGTTAAAGAGAAAAGAAGGTCTCATCATACCAAACCATTAGAGAAAAAAATGGTTTAGTGTATCCAAAAAATCCCTAAGCATCGAGAAAATAGATAAACTACTGTGTAAATGAACTAACAAGTGGGAAAAGGAAGCTTTACAGTTAGATTTGATTATATTAGTGAAACAGAGGTAAACACCAACCCAAACGGTAACGCCATCACTCAATGCTCATGATTACAAACAAAAAAAAGTTCTAGTTACTAAAAATCATTTTATAGCTTCTATATATACAAAAAAAGTTGTTTTGCAGGAAGACAGACATGGTCTCTGGAGTCCTAATTAAGAGTTTTACTACAGAAAAGTAATGAAAGATAGTGCTAGGGGTTCATGTAGGACCTAACCTCCATTTAAATCAATAGATTTGAGTTTAAGCCAATTTAGAATGAAGAAGGAAGCAAGAAAAATTATTTGTTAGCAAGCTGAAAAGCAAGATCCTACAGCAGCAGAAAACACTAAATATTTGTGCTATGAAGGTTTTCAAGGACCTAAAATGCTATTTAAGGCCCCTCAGGCTGGATCTTATGTCTACTCTCAACAAGAACGCAGGTACCTCACTTGCCTAAATTTAGGTAGACAAGCAGATGTATCTTGCAAGATAAGGAGAGAACACAGAAACAAGTTTACTGAAGAATTGGCACAGCTTTTTCCCATGTCCTGCAGGGTTCCCCTTAGTGCACAGTACAGGCAATGAGCAAGAGAAAACAAAAAATATTTCAGAGAAAGGAAGAACTACAATTGTCTACAGCTTTTCTTCAGGGACACGATGGAAAATGAAGCCAAAGGAAAATGAAGGGATGTACAGACAGAGGAGTTTTGTAGTGGTAAGTTCACCTATTATTTTCAGGAAATACGTGAGAGTCTTTACATTGAAGTTAAACATTGTCCGATTTGTAACAACAGTGGTTGCTTTATTTTCAAGGTAAGATCAGACAATTCCTGCAGTATTCTAGAAGTCTTATAACAACTTCTATTAGTCCTTGTTTAACAATTGAGGAAATAGACTAAAATCTTAAGCTTTTTTTTTTATTTTGTAGGGGGTTAAATGACAATAAAGAATTTTAGTCAGATACAGCATTTTTATTTTGGATTTATTTTCAAATCCTCATATTATAGTGAGGGCAAAGATCTATGTCTCCAAATGTTTTTGCACATATTTTTATGGTTTTAAGTTAATATTAGACACATACTATATTTCAATATCACTACAATAATTAACAAAATTAACAAGGTAACAAAATTACCTGAGTACGAAGGAGGGGGGGGTGTCCTATTATTTCCAATAATAAAATTACTTCCAGTATTTAATATAGGCACACACTGTAAATGCTTGGAGCTTTCTCTTTAGGTGTCATTCATGTTCAGACAATCAAACATGTACTATGTTAATATCTTCATGGACGCTTAGCTGTAGAGAAGGAGACCCTGAAAGAAGCACCACCTGCGCCTCTACGAAAGCATTGTGCAGAATAACTTTTTTGTAATTTCCTGAAGTCGTCGGACATCTTCTGACCAGCACTGGCCAGTCTCAGTATTACGATTTCTGTCTGAATCAGGAGTTGGGTTGAACAAACTACAACTACATTAGGATTGTTGCTCCCTACCTGCTTTGAAAGCAGAGGATTTAGACACAGCACAAGTTTCACAACAGTTGCTATTTTTTTAGTATTATTATGAAACCAACTGGCCTTCCAGAGTGTTCATTCATTACAGCAGAACGTTTATCATTGTCATGCTCATTTTCAGCCAAGCATATGGAGTTTTCCCCCTTCTAGGTTAAGTCTTCCATGCCAGATGGGCACATGAAGCCCCAGAGATTACTTGCAAAACTGCACAGAAAACTGAAATCCAGACGGGAGGAAAGAATGGTCCCAATGGTTTGTGTTACAAGGGTACCAATTTACTGAAATGACAAAACTTTCCTATTCACATTTAAGTTTGCATACATCATTGGTTGCCTATTCTGGGATATAAGCAATTGAGAAGGAAAATAAAAGCCTTCAGTGAAAATTAAACATCCAGAAACATGAAAAATAAGAATAACAGCCTCCAGGATTTTTGCAGTGCTTTATTATAGATATCTGTAAGAAGGACAGAGAACTGTCCAGCATGAGAAGGGAGAAAGATGAGAGAAAGATGTAATCAGTGTTTGGTGTTCTGTGGAGTACAACTTCTCTCAACAAGAATCTGCTTACTCATATGGAATACAAAAGACACTCACACAGGTGTAATTAAATATTACTCCAGATCTTCAAAGAGAAACTTCAGGATATACTTGAGAACACCGATTTCCACTCCTGATACAACATTTTTTTAAGCTGTTTGTTTTTCTGTAAGGTGAGCAAAGCATTGAAAAAGTAGCATGTTGCTTTGGTGTCCGTCTTCAGAAAAAGAAGGTACAAGACATTTATGGAAGGACCTAGGGAACAGGACACCTGCAGTGCCTTCTCCAGGTGTTGTGAAAGGAGATTTCCACCCTTCTCCCCACCCCACAGAAGGCTTTTCTTCCTCACCCTTGGCATTCACTCAAAAGTGAAATTTAGAGAACTCATTTGTCACTGTATTTGCTTAACTAGATAGCATGCTGCAACATGCATTTTAAGTACACTGGATTGCAAACATCCTGAATTTGTACGTTTTCTCCTCCAACATTTATTACAAACTTCTCACCTTTTACATATAGCAAAATGTAACGTAGCTACTGAAATATCTGCAGTACTCAAGGATACACAATATTAATTGCTCAATCAACCTGCATTGACACACTGGATTTAACATGCCACATTGAATTACTGATCGTTTTTCTAACCTTACCAAGTCAATCTGGGACAGAGACATCTGCAGTTTAGCTGGCGTATTTTTTAAACACCTGCTTCCTTCACTATTGTAGTATCACTAGTTTGAATGGAAGCATACGCATCATACCTTGCACATTTTGGTGCCTGACTGCACACTTCACAAGTATTTATTTCATTAATGCTTCTTCACTGTTGGGAAAAAAAATCTGCATTTTATTGGAAATAATAGTCTTACTAGTACACCATATACTGAATTGATTTGTTCTGTACTGTATTGAAGTTACATTCATTCTGTTTAAGGAAACCCACAAATATGATATCTAATTTTTTGAGTGTTCTTCTAATATCAAGGCAGAAAACATGTATTAGTATAGCCATACTTACACCAAATGCCACCACTGCCTTACTAATGTTCTCCAGTTTTTTACTTGGAAATATATATTTTAAATACTATCATGGAGGCAGGGCAATATACATCTTACAATACCCTTTAACTTGGCAACACAAAATATTGAAAAATAAAAATTGAAGGCAAACTTCTATAATTTTCAAATGTTTCATTGTCAGAAAACTGAGATGGTCATTTTCAGCATGCTTTCAACCGTTTTTCAGTCTATGACACTTATTACAACTGCTATAAAGAACTCTTCTCACCATATTGAAGAATTGTGTTTTTTACTATACAGTAAGGATTATTTTGCAAAGAAATTGAGAAATGTGAACATGAATACGGTAAAGCACATCAAACATAAATATCTTCAGCATTTTGTATAAAACTAAAAACAACATTCAGGTTTTAAGATTACTACATGGAACTGTAAATTGCTGATTAAGTGAGATTAACTATTCAATGTTCTTGTAGCAATAGTGCTTAGGAAGCAATGCATAGTTGTAAGTACTGTTGTACTTTACAGCTTATGAACAAAAAGAAAGTATTGCTAACTATTACTATTTCCCTGCTTCGATAGCACGATGTGCTTTCTATCTCTGCTTTGTCCTTGCTTAACTCATTAAGCCTCTGTTCTTCATTAAACAGCACGGAAATACAAATCAACTGATTCCAGATTACTTCCTGACAATTAATAACTGAAATAAGCACAGAGCTATCTTTAGTAAATTCACTGTTACCCTAAAAAGTTTAGGAGAGCAGAAGAATAGAGCCAAAAGACATCCAAGCTGTGTAAGGTATGGCTCACTGTCTGACAAACTTGCAGAACAACAATTAAAATACTAGTCTGAGTTGTAAATCGGAGTAACCTGAACTAGAGCTTACCACATATTTAGAAATTATTTCTGTTACAATTCGGAACCACATTGATTTTCTTTTCTTCTAATACATCTTATGGACAGAAAAACAATGCATATTACCTTTTGCACTAAATCTTTATAAAAGCATTTATGCTCCAAACTTCAGCATTGTGATACTGTGGATGTAAAATGATGTCAGATCATTTTCTTTCCCTGCCAAGCATTCTGTAGATGAGAAAATGAAAAACTTGCTCCTAAGATTACTTACCCATGAAGTTCAGATAGCTCTCTCCTCCAAGCGCATGAGTAATGAGACGAATCATTTTATGAAGCTGTATTCCACGATCAATAACAGAAGTAAGAGGCGAGAGCACACTCATGTTTGTATACATCTCTGCATCCATCAGTCGAAACGCCAATGTCTTATCGCCAACAAGGGCCTATAACAGTTCAAAAAAGAAAAAAGTGAAGAAAACCCTTGGGTGTACTAGAAGTGTTTCTAACTTTTTTTCCAAGCAGGTGCTTTATATTGTGAGGGAAGGACTCGGAATATTAGCCAGGAGTCAAAGAAGCTTTGTACTGCATGCTGTGTAATCACATGGGTGGGATATATATATAATCTGCTGCCAAAAAGAGCAACTATGTAAACTGAGGCAGGGACATCCCTGAGCTGAGCCTTGACTACATGTCAGACCTCACTGTTTTCTCCCTTCAACCCTCCACATGGTTACTGGGGTTCCCCACACAAATGGGAGTGTAAGCATATGATCAATAAACTAATAGCTGTCTAACCCCTGTTGTGGTCCTACATTTCACCTGATGGGATCGAACTGCACAATTACTTCCGAGAACCTCTTCACCTACAGGTATCAAATGTGAAATGTTAACCTCAACTCAATAAGCCACAAGTCACCTACCATTTTGGAATTTTTATAGAAGACACAGAAAATAAGAAAGCAAACATCTCAAGTGAAGTTCCTGGGCTGTACAAATAAAGGGCTATTAACAACACTCCCGATTTAGAGATGCAGAGTGAATATGAAACATTCATTTATATGCAGTCAAGAACGTGATTAGTTTTCTGTGATTTCACACAAGAGAGAAAAACAAACTAGTAATTCTGTCTAAAAACAGTGACCGAATTCCTAACTTGCTAGTGTTTACTGTTACTTGAGAAAGACCACACAAATGCCATGTAACAAGGATTATTCTAATGTATCAGCATGCAGGCAGTTGAAAACATTTTGGAGCATTTGTATGTAAATAGCTAATTTTTCTTCAATTATCCCAATTCTCATTTTATACTCTAGCACTAAAACCTCACTGCATTCCAGAGAGACAGATGAGTTGTAAACAGGTCTAGCTGAAAAGCACCATCATCCTTTAGTTTTCCAATTAACAATATACCCGCATACATAGATGATTCCCTTGAGTAAAAAAATGTTTTTTTAAAAAAAATGGCAACAATGGCAAGACTGAAGACTGCAACGAACAACCGCAAGGAACAACTCTTCTCTGGACTCAGAATGTGGCTTTTGTTAGTGTCATTTAATGTCCCCTAACCTTTTGATTAGAAGAGAAGGTAAGTGTTCCCTATTCATGTTTTCTATGCCAGCCATGATTTTATAACTGTTATCCTTCCCCTTCAATGATCTTTTACCCTTAAGTCTTACTCTATTTAGTTGTCTTCTTCTGAAAACCAATCCACACCTGCTATTATTCTTACCAACTCCCTCACAGCATTTTTTCCAGTTATGCTGTATATCCTTTGAGATAAAAGGACCAACTCTGCCTCCAACATTCAACATCCACACAAACCATGAAAGATTACAGTTGCATAATGATTTTGCTCTTTGTCCTCCATTCCATTCACGCCTCCAAGTACTGTATCCGCTTTCTTGACAGCTAGTACCATTGAGTTGCTATTTTCGTACACTTAGAACCACAAGGCTCTGTATTCTGACTGCTATCTGCAACTAGATCAGGCTGCTCAGAGCCCCGTCCAACTTGACCTTGAATGTTTCCAGGGATGGGGCGTCTACCACCTCTCTGGGCAACCTGTGCCAGGGTTTCAGCACTCTCATTGTGAAACATTTCTTTCTTATACCTAGTCTAAATCTACCCTCTTTTAGTTTAAAAACACTACCCCTTGTCCTGTCACAACAGGCCCTGCTAAAAAAAGCCTGTCCCCATCTTTTTTATAAGCCCCCCTTGAAGTACTGAAAGGCTGCAAGAAAGTTTTCCTGGAGCCTTCTCTTCTCCAGGCTGAACAACCCCAACTCTCTCAGCCTGTCCTTGCAGGAGAGGTGTTCCATCCCTCTGGTCATTTTTGTGGCCCTCCTCTGGACCCATTCCAACAGGTCCATGTCTTTCCTGTGCTGAGGGCTGAATGTTTACAGGGTCAGAATTTATAGTTCTTTTAAAAAAAAAAAAAAGCAAGCTGTTTAGGAGCATATGGCCAGCTACAATGAGAATGTTCAGAATGTTACATTTTTACAGATCTTCTTCCCAAGTATGAGATTCATAAACAAAAATACACAGTGATACAGAAAACAACTCAATCGATAAAATCCATCATGAAATAAAAAACCAGCAACAGTGGCATTATATGTCATGCTTTACAGTGAAGAATCATCTTTTATAAAAGCAAATAATCACAAAATAATATGCATTTCCAAGTAATGCCTGAAGTTCTTAATCGGGATTGGGACTCTTCTCTCATGTCTTAACTGAACACCGTGTAACACTCTGAGATGAGAATGTAAATAGGTACACAAAAGGAATCTGATAAACTCATAATTATATTTTTAAAATAAAATATAGGTCTTTTTGGTACACTTCCGTACACTTTTATTGTGGAAGGTATAGCAAATAGAATGTCAACTTCTACCACGTAAAGAGTTAAAGGTAGGTTACTTAAACCTTTCATTAGAAAATGGATTATATTTTTTAAATTTTAAAATTCGGCAACAATGGGTTTTCTGATTGTTCAGAAGCAACTATTACAAAAGATTATGGAAGATGAGCGTTATCCAAACTCATCATTACTTTTTAGTTTTTCTTTATGCAGAACCATTAAAGTTGCTGTGTTTTGAATCAAACTGTTAAAGAATATTTCATTTAGATCTGTAAAGAGGATTGGTGTTTGCAATGCTTTCAGAGAGGAAACATTTTCTTGAAGGGAATATGACAGTTGCAAACACTGATCCGATGAACAAATCTGCTACACTGTGATACAGTTTATGCTTATAAATAGCGCTCCAGCTTACTTTATGGAAACCAGATTTTCAAAAGCATGGTTTATATGCTTTCTTATGTCCTATGACAGGCAGCCAAAAAAGGAAGCTAGGCCTCACCTCTTAAAAAACCAAACAAAACAAAACTGAAAAATAACACCCACCCACTTCAAGCAAGATTCCTTTATTAAGAAGGAGGATCAACTCCCCCTGAAAAACACAAGAAAACCCAAACAAAACAAAACAAAAAAGCAGTAGTTCAGATCTACCTACCCCTGAAATTGTTGCCTATCCTTCTCAACTCTTGCCTCAACTTTGAAAAAACAAAACCCACTAAACCTCTAAACCTCACCTTTTACTTGCTTACATATAAATACATACAATACCTGATCATGGCTCTCTGCATATGCAATGTACTTTTCTTCATACCGTCTATTTGTTAACGTATGCACGATATTGCCCATATTCCACTCTTCATCTTTCAGCTCCTTAATTATCTGCAGAAATAAAGAAAGATCATTGAAAAATTCTGTTTTAACTAAAAGCACAGGACTACCTTCATTATCCTGGCACAGAAACCTCCAATGAATTGTAAGCTTTATTACTTTAACCTCTACTATTCCCAATTTTGGAGCAACT